GTGCCTGTGCGACTTGCGTTAGTTGCTGTAGGGTTTGGGTCAAGGGGTCGTCTGTGGCGGGTTCTGGAGTTCTGGATTGCCTTATGTTCGGTGCCATGCTATCGTCTTTCTGGTCAGTGTTTATAAGAATGTTAAGTTAGACTTTGATGCACTTCTTGTGAAGTGATAAGTGGGGAGGGTTTTAGAATGGGGAGGGTAAAGTGCAGGGAAGTTATGTGTAGGCTTCACAATCTCACCGCGCGTCCTAACATTCCTGAGTCCTATGTTCCTAGATACCTAGAGTTCAAGCCTAATGTCCTAAAGTCCGGTCTTAAGAGTCTTATCCTAGGGTCAAACTTAGGCTCTGATACCAACTGTAACACCCCAGATTTTCAAGACATTTAAAACTTATATAATAAAGGTAATATCTCATTACATCCCAAAGTATATCATAAGTGTACGGGGTGCTATGCCACACCTGGGCTAGAGAACCCTGGTGCACAGACTGTCTAACTAATATCCACCGAAATACAATGCATAATATGGCACGCAGGCCGAAAGGGAAACTAATCTACTTCTACGCTCCAGTTCTAGCGCGCTCCAGTGCTCTAGTCCTCTGTGCCGAAAGCCAAATATATCTGTTCAGCGAGAGATGCTGCTAACCCACTCCAACGCGTTGAGATACAATAGATATAGAGATATATATAGATATAAGAAAACCATTTGAGCATGAAGATATATCCTACGAACTCTAGCTTTAAAACCGGGAAGGACTCGAAAGATAAGGCCAGACACAAGTAACAGTTATAACAAGCATATACAGTTCACGATAGATAAGGCAGATAAGGCAAAGCATAAACAATAATCATAACCCAGCATAAACGATCCCCAACATAAATCCCATAGTCACGTTCCCCAAGGCACTCATAACCACAACTCATCCACATCACAACACATAGCACACTTTGTTGGCGCCACAGGACCAATCGCATGCCCATACATGAGGGTCAACGCATATAGCTCTGACACGGCCCCGCAGCACCCTGCCCCGTATCGCAACACGGAGGGGTCGATCGCAACCAACCGATGAACCGCAGCTCATCATAGTGTTTGATCGCAACCAAACAGTGGACCGCAGCCCAAGAGAATGTCATCTGACCGCAGCCAGGAAAGAGGACGAACCGCAGCTCGTATAGAAACGTTTGATCGCAACCAAACGGTGGACCGCAGCCCAAGAGTATCAATCTGACCGCAGCCAGCTTCTGAACCGCAGCTCAGGATAACCAATCCGATCGCAACCGAATTGGGGTAACACACACACATAACACATAGCAAGCACATGCAACCCACATTACACATTGGGAAGGGGGAGAAAGCGTATAACAAAACCTATGCGTGATCCATCACATACTAAGAATAGTCCTAAGGGGTTCATACTCCTTCCACCTAGGTCAACGGGATACCAATTCAACTAGCATGCAATATAATAGACTCATAAACCTACGAACGGTACCCGAAACATCAAACTAGACATAGGCACGATAAACGGAGTCCGTTGGGACACCACGGGGATCGGGGGGAACATCAAACGGGGAAGCCGGGGTCCCGAAGGGGGATGATTTCAGCGGGTAGCCGGTGGGTGGGGGGCCACCCGCCGGATCTTACTGTTCCGGGCAGCGGGTCGCCGACGGGCAGCTGCCCGCTGCCGGTGACGGTTTCTCGGCCGTGGGTAGGTGGCGGGTCCCCTACCCCCCACTGTCTCTTTATCACACAACACGTCCTGGGAACCGTTGTGGAACCCGAAACCATGCTTAGACACTTTACAACGCAATTAACGACAACACATAGACAATTAACGGATCAAATACGATAAACGAACGGCACATAACCTAACATACTTTCCTAAACATAATCAACGCCCAAACATGCGATTTCCCCACCCGATAATCCAAGAATAATAACATACGATACAGCCTAGGGTTCTAATCACTTTTACATCAACACGAATACGATTCGTCTTCTAATTGCAAGATTCGGTAAGAATAACACATAAGCATCAAGAACATCACGCGATTATCAAGAACAACACATAATCATCAAGAACTCCATATAATCATCAAGAACACCATAATTAACAAGAATCTCCCAATATCAAGATTATCAAGATCCCTCATGGGATCATCACATCAAGCATCAATAATAATCATCAGATCTCGCCATTCACAATAATATGGGGGAAACCCTAAGGGGGAATCATAGCTATAAAAATAGGTTTTGTTGAGACATGGGTTACCTCTTAGCCTTAATTAATTCTTTGGCTATGAAGGATCTTTCTTTAAGCTTTCTTGATTTCTTGATTTCTCCTAGGGGAATTCTTGGAGCTCTTTGGGTGGTGAAAGATTATCGTGGTGGGGATTCTAGATGCCTCCTAAGTTCCCTATTTATAGATCTAGGGATCTTATCTAGGGTCTAATCCTATTGGGATTAGGGGTTGGGTTTAGAGGTGAGGGCCCACGGACTATGGTGGGCCTATTTCCCTAATTAATTATTATAATTTATTCTTTCTCTTGGTGCCGTAACACGGGGTGTTATAAGTTGTCTGGTCAAATGGTGAATTGATTAAACAATGTTTGGTGAGATATGACAAGCTCAATACATGGGTGCAGGGTGGCTAGAGGATCCCTCAGTCTCACATCTTTTCTTTGCAGATGATAGCTTATTGTTCTTCAAAGCGAATATCCAGGAGGCTAGGTCGATTAAACAATGTTTGGTGAGGTATGAAAAGTTGTCTGGTCAAATGGTGAATTGATTAAACAATGTTTGGTGAGGTATGAAAAGTTGTCTGGTCAAATGGTGAATTATCATAAATCTAGTATCTGCTTCAGCAAGAATACCCCGGGGGAGGACAAGGAAGAAGTGGCGAATTGCTTGGGGGTAGTACAAGCTCCCAATTTTGGAAAATACCTTGGCCTGCCATCTTTCATTGGAATAAATAAAAGGGGTGTTTTTTCTTATGTGGAGGACAAAATCAGACAGAGGATTGGATCTTGGAACAAAAACCTGCTTTCTCAGGCTGGTAGGGAAGTACTTTTGAAAAGTGTAGCTCAATTTATGCCTACCTTTTCAATAGGTGTTTATCTATTGAGAGAATGATGAATAAGTATTGGTGGGGAAAAGGCGCAGAAAGTGGAATTCATTGGAAAGCCTGTGACAAGTTATGTATCCCTAAGAAGTACGGGGGTTTGGATTTTAAAGAACTCCGTGCTTTTAATCTGGCTATGCTAGGAAAACAGGCATGGAGATTCCTTACCAACCCTGGTTCTCTAGCTGCGAAGGTATACAAGGCTCGTTATTACCCAACAACCTCCTTTATTGATGCAACTGTGGGAAATTGCCCAAGTCATTGTTGGCGGAGTATAATGGTTGCACACTGTATGGTCTGCTCTGGGGTACATAAGAGAATTGGTAACAGGGCAACAACATTAATTTGGGGCCACCCGTGGTTACCTAATGACCCTACCCTTTAGTTCAGACTATTATGCCAGATGAGCTGCGAGAGAAGCTTTAGTGGTGGGTTTAATTGACCAGCAGAGTAATTCATGGGATCCCCATATTTTATCTTATTTGTTTGATCCGGATGATGTGGCTGGTATATCTAGAATCCCTATTGGCCCGGGTTATGAGGACTCATGGTATTGGCTCAATGATCCGAGAGGAATGTATACAGTTAAAAATGCTTATAGGCAGATTGTTGGTAACTTTGAACATAACCCCGGTGCTTTTGATAAATGAGTTACATTATGGAAATTGAAGGTCCCGCCAAAATGGAAAACTTTCTTATGGAGAGCCTTATGTGATATTCTTCCTACCACAAACAATTTACTTATAAAGAGGGTGGAAATGGATCCAACATGCCCAATGTGTGGGCTAATTCATGAAGATGTTATGCATTCACTTGTTTCTTGTGATTATTCTAAACTCCTTTGGAATGTTTCGGAGTTGCCTATCACAAATATTGTAGCTATTTCTTTTCATGTATGGCTCATGGGTGCAATGGTTAATTTAACAGAGAAACAATTTTGCATGGCGGATGCGGTGCTTTATCACTTATGGAACGCCCGGAATGGAGCCGTGTGGAACGGAATGTTGACACGGCCGGAGCATGTATGGAGACGGGTGGCTGCTGCGTTGCATGCATGCATACACACAGGTTCATCACCGTACCCCTCGGCAGCAGCGGGAAGCAGCAGGAACGGCAATGCCATGTACTCGCTCACGGTGTTACGTCGATGCAGGGTACCGGCCGGCCACCAGGGAAGCGACATATGGTGTGGTGCTGCTCGATCCGGATGGCTTGTTCAAAGCGGCAACAAATGGCAAACTCCCGGCCTGCTTCTCACCCCTTATGGCGGAAGCGCTAACGTGCAAAGAGGCTCTATCTTGGCTCAGGAAACGAATTAGATGTGGATCTCCTCACAGATTGCTCACAATTGCGAAGTTACTTGCACTCAAGTCCTACGGCTATCTTGTCTTATGTTGGGATGGTTGTGGACCAGTGTCGGGCAACTATATCTTTATTTAATTATTGCTCATTAAATGTTGTCTCTAGATCAGTTAATTTACATGCTCATACTTTATCATGTCCCTCTTGACTTTATTGCTTCGTTCATTCATTAATATATGCCAATGTTGTTGGCTTTCAAAAAAAAAAAGATTGTTCATAAAAATGAAATTTTCTTTTATAATATTAACTAGATAGTTCAAATTGGTCACTTTTAATTGCACCCAAAGTAATCCTCTGAGTATAGTAAAACACTGAATTGTCAATTTTACCCCTCATTTAAACACCCACTTAACACCACAACTAACAGATGATTATTTTTGCTTAAAATTCAATAGTCGGGTGATCATTTTGGGGGCAATTAAAAGTCTAAGAAACCAATTTGAGAAAAAATCAAAGTCGGAGGAACATTTTGAAAATTAATTTAATTTAATTTTTTTTTTTTTTTTGAAAACAAAGAAGAAGCCCTGTGTTGCAAACTTCCCGGAATCATATATCTTTACAACACAAGAAAGATGCAACAAGAATGATCCCTGTATAGAGAGCATATATAGATTGCACATAGAAATTCTTGATTTAAGACCTATAACAGTGTCATATTAATCAACTAAACAACCAAAAAATAATTACTGATTTACAACCTCTAAAAGATTTGTAGACCATACATATCCTATGCCAATAGCACAATTTCTCCACGAGCACATTTGTCATAGATATCCTTTGCCAATTGAAGCAGAACGTCACTATCCTCAGTCATTCGGGAGACCCTCTCAGCCTCCTTGACAGCTTCAGCTGCCACAAATGATTTGTTTTCTGCTTCTGCAATCATGTAGGCAGCCGCTATAGCTACTTCTTCTACTGTATCACCAAGATAGCCACTGTTTTGCAAATCCTTTATTTTTGGAGTCGGAGTTGTTGATGATGCACGTAAGAACTCTTTCTTGATCCTAAAGCAGTTGTGTATCTTTTCAAGTTTGTCTTGTTGAACAAGCCTCCTCAACCTAGAACTCAGTAGCCGTCTGGAATTTGGTGGCACTTCATGTCTTTGCTCAATGAAATTGACAATTGTACCTATATCGCATCCACTTGGGTCTTTTAGATTCGTAAGTGCTTCATAAATCATTCCATTGTACTTTGAAGCAGTTTTTCCATCTTCTGGTGTTGATGTATCCCGTAAAAATGGAGTGGAGGAAGCATGGGTTAGTGCATTGGGCACTGGAGTCATAGGAACATCAGCATTGGCCTTTGGCTTTGGCTTTTGACTCTTTGATTTATCCCTTGAACCTTGGGCATTTGCACTTGCCTTCAGATTCCTCCATTTATCCTTAAGATCAATGTTGGAGCGAGAATGTAGGAGGTGGTTGAATTCAGGGTCTCTCTGGATATTTTTCCACTTGCCTGCGCCGTGCTTGGCCACGCCGGCGCGGAGAGCTTCTTCTTCTTCCGAAGTCCATTTCTGCTTGGGGTTCCCCATAGCTCTCTCACGCTCTCTCGGCGGCTTAAACCCTTAAATTAATTTGAAATTACTATTTTATTCCGGGGCTATTGAGAATTAGAAATTAGAATGTTTGACGGAGCTTTTTAAAGAGGAGAACATGAACTTAATTTTAAGAACCCCTATTCCCATTAAGATTCATGATATTGGAAAAGCAGCTGACCCGACCAATAAAGATCACAGCTCGGTAGAGACATCAGACCAGCAGGGCAAACAGGATAACCCATTTAAAATTTGATTTTTTTTTTTTTGAAGAAAATTTGAATTTTAAACAGTGTTATCTCTTTAATTAAAAGAATTAGATAATTGTGTCTTTCTATTTTTAAGCATCTTAGTCTACTAAATATATCTTGTAAAATAAAATATATCTTGTAACATATATAAATAAATAAACTAATTGAAATAAATCAGGTTACCATATTGACCACACGATTGACAGACTCAAACACATTTGACAGGCTCAAACACAAACACATTTGACAGGTTCAAACAGTTTGTTGTAAATTTGTTATTAGATATTTCTCTTATACATGGAATCAGTACCCGTTTTAATTTTATTGGAGTGGTATGCTTAGTTTATACATGTAATCAGTACCCGTTTTCTCAGTTTTTCTTTCTCTACTCTGTTCAATCCCCAGGTTCATTACACTATACTCAAAGCTTTTAGTGGGTGAATTTGTTAATACCCGGAACTTCTAACCCTTGATAAGTTGTAAAATTTAATGGTTTCCCAAATGGGGCAATTTCCTATGAAGAGCAACAAGAAACATCCTTCCCACTACATCTTTACTCACCATGAGAAGAATGGAGGTTGACAATATTTGCCCTATTTATAGATTGGAGGAAGAGACCACCTCTCAGTCTCTCACATTTGTGGGTCATGCAATTTTGCTCAACGCATTTGGACTGTGGCTGCACCACCTACTCCAACATGTAATTCTCATTTTGTGCAATTGTTATAGCATGGACCAGGGTTCATATTTCATTGTGAACCCTGATACAAAAATTACGTAACTTCAGTTAACACATTTTGTGCATATCATTAAAAATTTCTGTACATATAAACAAATTATAATATGATAGCAACAGGTACAAAAACTATCAATTACAGGTATAGAACATGTCAACTATAGATACAAAATCTGAATGTTATTTTTAGACCAGAATCTCGTGATCTACAATGCAAGGTAGACCCTGGTCCATGATATAATTTGCCCATTTTGTGGGCTGGTTGAACCATATATATCATGCAATTTGGAATTGATAACAGCACTACTTTCATGCAATTTGGAAAGCTAGAAACCTTGCTGGCTTTGAGCATAGAATTCCTGTGCCTACTGTCTGTCATCCAGAGGGGTTGTGAAAGCATAAAGAAAAACTCGTGTAGTTCAACTCTCTGTATCAGTTTCCAACAAACCATTTACAACTCTCAAATGGGTACAAATTCTTTAATGATTTTTTTATGGCTATGCGAGCAAGCACTGGTCTGACGATGAATACAAATGAATTCAGTTTAGTAAATCATCAGAATACTGAGAGAGGCACTAATATCCAGTCGAAAGTAGAACATACTGGTTTTGAATCAACATTGGATATCACCGGCATTGTGCAGAGAGATGTACAAGGAGGGAGCGTATCTCAATAGACTTCAGCGGCTGTATAATTGTTGGGTACTCTCTGGCGCCTCTCCACATATGTAGATGGAAACCAGCCCGCCCTACCTTGGCATTCTCCTTCTGACCATCCAGATGGTGCCACCTAAGCATATCACAATGTCAAACTAATTGGATAAACGGATCTTCAGAGTTGGGAAGAAAACAACGGTTATGCATCATGTTCATACTGAAAAGTAGAGAATACAATAAACAACCTTCCGAACAACAACGAAATCCCCCTTAGACAAGCTCAATTCCTTCTCTGTTTCAGCTTCAAAACTATGAATTACCTGCAAAAAGAACATAACTGATAGGTTGAAGTAGAACCACATAACATGTGCCCAGTGTCCAACAAGATAAATACTTTTATAGTTGGTGTAGTATGAAAGGTGAGTTTAAAATAAAAAAATAAAAATAAAAATAAGAAAGGTGAATTAGAAGTTACCTCAGCCAAAAAGTACTTCGTTTTCTCCGAGGAGTGAATGATTGGGGTCACAGGAGGAGCTACCATAGGAGGAGTTGCCTCTTTTCGTTGTTTCTCCGAGACCATCTACCATCACAGGCTACATGTCAGGAAAATTTCCATTGAGGTACGAAAGAATATTTCCAAAACTAAGTAGAAACCCACCTCAGCTTCAATATTACCCAGAATAACAGCAACTCTTTCGTGATATTGCCTCTCTCCTTCAACCTTCAGAAAAATATAAGTCCAAATGGAAACGCAGTCCTAAAATGATGATTATGCAACTACGTAAAAATAGGATGGCTATAAAATACCATTGCTACAAGCCTCTGAAATGTTAGCCTCTGCTGCTGTGATTCCACAGCAGACAATGCAGCTGCTGCTTCTTTACCTAGTACTGCCATATTTGCTCGTAGTTCCTGCATTTTAGCTTCTGCTGCATGCAGTCTTGCCACATTTTCTGGAATAGGAGCTTCTTTTACCCGTGCCTGTCTTCTAGAAACTTCAACAGCCTGCTTGTTTCAGATGATCAATTAAATCAAGTTATTATGAGCACAAAAATAGAAGCTCACTACGGTAAATCAAAATATATTGACCTTAAAATATTTCTTTAAAAAAAAACAAAAAAGAAAAACAAAAAAACAGCTGTCATGTTACCTGATTCTCTGCCTCTTGCCTCATACGGCTGTAACGTTGAGCAAGATGACGAGCATCTTCTAAAGGAGATCCAGCTATCATTGCTCTCAAAGGCTCTAGGACCTAAAAATGCCAAATCTACAAGTCATACTTCAACACTTGCAAAGCATTGTGTTTGATCACAAATAGACACCAGCTTGGTTGCCGTGAGTGGCCGTGCACTCTCGTCCCTTAAGAGAGGTCGGGAGTTCGAAACCCCTTCTCGTATGGAAAAACCAAAAATGGCACCCTTTAATTGGGCTGGGCCGGTGCGAACGGGGATTAGTCTGAATATGGTAAGGGTTTAAAGGTGCCTCCTATAGTTAAGACCTGCTCAAGATACGTCATGGTCTAACTAAAAAAAATAGACACCAGAGATACCTTAATGTATCTCCAATGCCAACACACCTTAGCCCAAATTCTGATTATCCCCCTGTTCACACAGTTCTAAAACTAAGAAAACTATACATTGTTATGAAACTAGATTTTAGGAGAGAACACAAAAGATTGAACTTAGAAGCATATACTTTCTGTGATAAACACCGCAAATGAAAATTAACAGTTTGAAAGATACTTCGTGTGTGTGTGTGAGAGAGAGAGAGATAAATGTCACCCCTTCTACACAGGCATGCAACTATTAGGTTTGATTTCAAACTCAAAACACAAACATCAGAAATTCAGAATTGAACCCAATCAATCAAAATCTAGACTTGAAGGAATTATTTAACCTTGCAATTCAAAAGACAAACAAATTATTTATGTACAATTGTACAGTTAGTTTCTCTCTCTAATAGAAAGCTGTAAACAATTCTAAAACTCATAATCTCAAAAGATACATCAAAATCAGATAACAAAGGATTCACCAACCTGATTATACAATAGTCCATTCAGGTCTTCAACCTCCTTCTCCACATGTTTTCGAGCATCTCCATAGATAGATGCAGATTTAGATAGAACTTCATCGTTGACATTTTCGACACCATATTTGCAGCAATCTTCAGACAGCTTGGTTCCTTGATACCCACAAAGTTCAAAACATTAACCAACCACATAAATAAAGATCATAGTGCCAAAATAACATTTTAGCACATAAATAAACTTTTTAACATATTAAGCTGCAACTAGTGTGAACATGGACATTGGAACTTGAAAGAAATAGCAACTGTTACCTGCTTCTATATGCTTATATCCAATAGCTGTAAATGTTTCAGCTGCCTTGACAAGTTCTTTCTGAAAATCCTGTACCCATCAGATGTTAAACTTTCATATGAGGGACCAAAATTTAACAAGATTGAGTTAATAAACAGAAAAATCATGAAACATAATTCCATAGTTGTTTCGTTGAGGAGTTTAGGAAGATATACAAGTTTTTTTATTTTTATATTTTTTGTCGCAATCCACAGTTTGTCTAATCTGATTTCAGTTAAAAAATGTAGCCAATATTCCCTAATGATAGTTTCTAAGGATCAGGAGTTAAACATATTCTTTCACTTTAGGTTTCCCAACAAGCAATCAGATACTTTGAAGCTTCACTCACAAAATAGCATTCTTACCCTTCCAGAACGGGTAGACCGATACAATTTTTCCAAATGCTGATGCATTTGCAGCTCGACTTCATCAATAACCATGACATCAGAGCTTTCATAACCACTTGTACTGAACTGCTTAATTACAGCCTGAATTCCAAACACCCATATTAAGAAATAAGAATAACAAAGAAGCCCAGTTAAGCCAAAATAGGGCCTATTCCTAAAAGCTACAAATCTTTAAGCCTCAAATTCAGATTTCTAAAAATATCAACAAGTTTATCATGCACAACTCTGCAACTTATCAGAAAAAAACTATCAAAAGTTTTAAAGTTTTTACCACATTTCTATTCATAATTCCCAATCTATCTTTTCCATTGCAATTCTAGGATTCGTCATCACAAGTTTTAAATCCCCACAATTTCAACTTATAAACTCAATTATCTCACTCCCCATTCCCCCGGCAGCAATTCAATAAACAAATAATCGAAAAAGAAATCACATCTTTAAATAAGGGAAAAAGAAAGGAATGATAGACCTGTTGTTGTTTGGCAACTTGTTCTTTAAACTTGCTCGCTTGCTTCCTCAGAGCATCCATCTCTCCTTTCCTCACTCTATCTCCCTCTCTCTCTATATATATATGTGTATATATATACTGTTAATTGTAACTGGGTTTGACTCTTGAGGTAGATGAGTGAACACCCAGAAGGAACAGAGCGATGCCGTGGAGAGTTCCGATCGGAAGCGAGAGCTACAGATCTGAAAAAGCAGCTCCCACTTGCAGAGTCCAATTTCCACTTTTTTTTTACAAGGTGTCAACAATCAATATTCATGATTCAACAATTCTTTTTCTTATTTGTTTTTTCTCTTAATTTTCGTTAGATTGTGACGAGAGTTGCAAAATTGTTTCTTAATTAGGGTTTTGTTATAGATAGACCGATACGAATTACTTTTTAACTAATATTGTCCCTAATTAATAACTCTACCCTTATTACATTATCACGTTTAGTCATTCAATTAAATTGTCATTATTCAAGTATTTTGTTTCAATATGCAATTTCTCCAGTTACCTCTCCTTATTTAATTATTGAATGATAAAATTATATTTTGTCATCTTTATTAAATTAAATAGTTAAATGACACAAAATTTAAAACAAATTGGGACAAAAGAAATAAAAGTTAATGATTTAATGTGATTCAGGATTCGTTTGGAGGCTAGAAAATCATTTTTTTGTTTGGATAAAAATTAAAATTAAAAATTATATTTTTCTGTTTTGTTCATTTTATTAAAAATGAATATATTATTTGTTATTTGTTATAATAATGGTGGGGAATATACATTGGGGTTAGTGACCCGTACATATGGAGCACCTAACCGGATCCGACTTCATGCATATTGAGGGTCTTTTCCGACTGTGTCCAACTTGTCAAGCGTCCTTAACCAACCCGACTTGATATTAGGCTTCTCCTTATCTTAATGAGCTCCTGCTCCGAATCTTTTAGGCTCGGTCCCGACCCGAATGTTCGGTCAAGTTTCGAATCCAAGCCCGTAGCCACCAATACTTAAAGATGAATATAGATAATAAGCGGGAACTATAGGTATTGGTCAATCAGATATTTCGTTACAGGTGGACACCCCTACAAGTTGACCCATATAAGTTTTATTATTGTTTAAAATCATCATTTGGGGTACCCATTACCCACATGTGTTTTCTCCCAATTATTTGGGAAAAGTTTCAATCTTTATCTACTTTTGTCTTCATGATTTCTATTTTGATGTTGTTTTGTTGAATTGTTGTCAATAAATGCTGCTACGGCAGGGGAAGAGGATTTGAAGCAAAAGATCAGCAACTCAAAAGATAAATCTAATGATTCTGATCTTTTGTTGATGGGACTCCTTAAGAGTCCTAGCTAGTTCAAATATAGGAACAACTTGTTCTTGGGCTGTTCTTATGACAACTAAAAGCCTGAGCTGATAGATAAACTACGCAATTATGTTTTATATATTATATGCTCAACATTTTGTACAATTCCAATGGGTAGAACATGGCAAAATGGAAATGGAAAAAGAATGCAGAAACAAAGGAATTATGAGATGCTATATATGCAAACAATCTTTGATACGATTCTGAAATTCATCTTCTTTTTATCTCCTGGTTGTGCCGGAGGCGCCACAGATGACTGCTATGTACACCAGTTGTGTAACAGTTAGGATAATCAGAAAGGCTTCTGTTGTTCTCTGTGTAATTTTGGTTCACATTTAGCAACCAAATTAAAGCTTATTAGTATTATTGCCATTGTTATATATCAACTTTCAGGGATTTAACAAGTTGAACACTTACCAGTTTGGCGTTTCTACTTTGGAGTTCAATCTCTTTCCAGGCAAATCTGCAAAACACGATTTTGCAGGTTAATCCAAATGGTACGAGATTTGGTGCAAGTAACATTATTCATTCGAGAGCTCGAGATAGTTACATACCCCATGGCAAGGGCAGTAAGACTCCAGGCAACAGCTGCTGCAGAAGTAGCAGAAGGCAAGCTGTCAAAGTCCCAATGACGGATATGGTCGATGCCAACTATGACAGATGCAACTCCAACCACCCCGGCTATCAGGGAAAACACGGCCAAGAATCCCGTGGCGGCATTCCCCATGGAATAACATATGGGAGAGAATTGTGGGGGGAAACTCAATCCTGGAGCTGTATGTTGAGCATATAATATATAAACGTAAATGTGCAATCCAATTATCAGATTAGACTTTTAGTTGAGGTGGAGCACATACCGATGAAGAAGCCTTCATTAATGGCGTTGTTAGTAGCCCAGCTAGCAATGGCCACAACTATAAGATACATGCAGAAATTTAGCCCCAAAAGCATTGATGCTACAGATCTAAGCTCCCCATTAGCCATTCTTGAATCTGGTTGGTTTCTCTTTGAAGATTATTGGCAAATTTTGAAAACACAAATGTCGTGCTAATGCTATTATATATAGGGGTTTTATAAGACCCAATGTGAGATGGGGTTTTGGTTCTTTTCTTGTAAGAATGTTGTCTCTGTTAAGTTGGGTGGGGTTGAGAAATTAATCCCTGGAGGTTAAGGCAAGGATGCTTTCATGCCTCAAGATTCCTTCCTGGCTAACTAATAATTGTAAACCTTTCTTTTGGATGCTTCATTCTTTAATTACAAAATGATCATTCTTCACCCATGGGGGAGATTTGCTTTGCCCCTTTTGAGGTTATACCTGTTTGGAGTTTGAGTTTAGAGGTGGTTTGATAATTTCTCATCAATTAAATTCTGGGAAAAATATTTTCATACAATATGTTTGATGGGAATAACTTTACAAGAAAAAGTTAATTAAAATGATTAGTGTTACATGGAAACATGTATAACAATTAAATTATCTGAAAAATTAATTAACATGTTTGGTTTGTTTAAACGTTCCCAGTAAAATTTTTATAATCTCTAATATGTCCTTGCTATATACATTAAAAAAAAAAAAAAACATAACATATAATCGATAGTTTAATAAATTACTTGTAAATTAATAAATTATATGATAAAAATAAGTCATCAAATTAATTAAGTACCTAAAAATTAAACTCAAGTTAATCAAGATATATATAAAGTATGCATACATACATGCATACATACCTACATAGGGATTAATTTTGATGTGTGGACCGACCCAGGCTGTTATGACAACAATTTTATGTTATGTTATTTGTAATTCTGAATTTCTGACAAATGAGAAATTATGTGGGTGTCTATTTTTTTTTTTTTTTTTTTTTGTGGTAATAAAATAACACATTGGACTACCATTGGTGCTAATTTCATAGGTGCTTTAGCATAATATAATTAAGAGTTTTTTGCACTTTTGGTCCCACGACTATAGTGGCATTGGCAAAATTGATCCACAACTTTTGAATTTTGCAATTTTAGTCCACGACTATTGATTTTTTTTGCAAAAATGGTCCTTCCGGCCATTTTTCCGTCAAAATTTCACCGAAAAAAAATTCTCAATTTTTAGCCGGGTTAAAATGGTCCTCAGCACGTCTGCCGGATCATCCGAAGACATCGGCTAAAAATGGAGATTTTGTTTTCCCGGTGAAATTTTAATGGAAAAGTGGCCGAAATGACCATTTTTGCAAAAAAATCAATAGTCGTGGACTAAAATTGCAAAGTTCAAAAGTCGTGGATCAATTCTGCCAGTGTCACTATAGTCGTGGGACCAAAAGTGCAAAAAACTCTATAATTAAGTATTTGGTAAAATTGTACGAATAGCCTTATTTATTGAAAAGATCGCTTTGCATATCTTTTTCGTTTTAATTAAAGAACTCAAATTTCAACTCATATCTTATTCTTAGACGATTTAAACTTTGATTATTTGGTATAACACTTTGACTAGATTTTGATTATAATAAGGAATTCGAACAAGTATAAGAAATCTAGAGACATACAGCTATTACATCTTATTTAAGGTCCTTTAATTTGATCCTCTTGCTAAATTCATCATACACCATCTATAAAATTGATTACGACTATTAAATCTTCATTCAACAGAAAATTATGGGTGGAGAAGGTTAGTATTATTGATTGTTCATATAATTATGTGACTTATTTGCTAACATTCTATGTCCGGATTCTTTCTCTCTACATATATATTTGCGGTTGTGAATGCATTCAACTTTATGCTCGATCTCGATCAAATGTTTAATTTCAGGAGTGAATATGTTGGATTTGAAATCTGAATCTTCATATGAGAAGGAAAGTGAAGGGGAGAAGATTATGATTGTTGATCCATCAAAGAGGAGCGGAAGTGTGAAGAAAATGTTTCTGGCAATGCTGGAAAGGTTTCTAATAATGCTTGCGGAAGATTCTGATTCTGATGGCGAGGGTGAAGATGAAAGTTGTGAGAGTTGATTTTAGAGTTAATACCATTTGAGGTCCTCCGAGTATAATGGTTTTGTCATGTTTAGTCCTAAACTTTCAAATTGATCATATGTGGTCCTTCGACTTTCAAACTTAACCATTCGTGGTCCAAGTTAATCATACATGGTCCTTCAATTATTAAATTTTAACCAACCATGGTCCTTTCATAAGGACCACTATTGGTTAAATTTTGAAACTTGAAGGACCATGGGTGGTTAACTTGGACCACGAATGGTTAAATTTGAAAGTTAAAGGACTACAAATGGTCAATTTAAAAGTTTAAGACTAAACGTGACAAAATCACTATACTCGGAGGACCTCAGATGGTATTAACTGGTTGATTTTAATATGAAAAAGAGGACTATATATACAGATTGAGTGATCAAGCTTTGAGCGATGCTAAGGGGCTCCCTAGCTTTGTTCGTTTTTTTTTTTTTGGTTAAATTAGAAAATTGTTTTTTTTTTTTTTTTTTTTTTTTTGGTACATGACCAGAGATATGAATTCATGGCTTTAAATAAAGTTATTATTTAGCATTAAATTCACTTTAACTACTTCAATAATTTAATTATATATATATATATATATATATATATATATATATATATATATATATATATATATATATATATAGATGTGTATTCAAATGAGGACAAGTATATTATAGAGGACTGTGAGGACAGATGTAGTTTGTGCCATTAGCCGGTATGTCGTGTGCATGGCCAAATGTAGTCGTGTGCCAGTTTGTATGTCGCGTGCTAGATTTGTTAATTTATAGAGCCTGGGTTCGAAACCTGATGTTTACATTTATTCTTGTGTGTCATTATGTATTAAGTTGTGTGCCTGGTATTAATTTGTTGTGTGCCTATTATTTGTCCTCATAGTCCTCTATATATTGTTGTCCTCATTTGAACTCAACCATATATATATATATATATATATATATATATATATATATATATATATATATATATATATATATATATATATATATATATATATATATATATATATATATATATATATATATATATATAATTGCACTCAGGTGCAAATGAAGCGCCCAGGAGGGAATATGCGAACAAATCAGAGCACGACATGTGTCCAGATCTAATGGATTAAAAAAAATACGGTGACATTTTCGTAAATAATTGAACATCGAAGTGCAAGTAAAATGTATTGCAAGTGCATGTAAAATGTAGGAAAATACTTGGCGTACTCCCATTTTATACTTCAACTTGTACTCCCTCTCACATGTTCTTGATGTAAACATTTTTCTGTGGACCCACATGTTGAAAATAACCAATCCAGGCTTGTCACATCAGGGAGTACAAATGAGGGAGTAGAATTTGGGAGTTCATGTAGTAGAACTCGTAAAATGTATTATAGCTGCAAGTAAAATTTACACTGCGCATCAATACAAAGTGCACCTATAGGTATAAGTAGTTGCATCTATAGTTATATGTAGTTGCACATATAGTAATATGTAGTTGCACCTATAGTTATATAAGTAGGTGCACCTAGGTGCATGAATGTTTGCGAGAAGTGAATGTTAACAAGGCAAAATTAAATGTACTTATAGGTGAAAGTAGGTGCACCTATAGTTATAAGTCGTTGCACTAATAGTTATAAGTAGGTGCACCTAGGTGCATGAATGTTTGCAAGAAGTGAATGTTAACATGGCAAAATTACATGCACTTATAGGTGAAAGTAGATGCACTTGTAAGTGATTTTATATTTTTACTTGCACTTCGATGTTCAATTATTTTAAAACATGCCACTGCATTTTTTTAATTTATTAGATCTGAACACGTGTCGTGCACTGATTCGTTCGCATATTCTTTCCTGAGCACTTATTCACATCTGAGTGCATCCTTTATATATATATATATATATATATATATATATATATATATATATATATATATTAGAGAATATTGAATTAATTTATAACTAAACTTCATATGGTCCAAAGCTTCAATGGCATTATTTCAAGACTAGTTCAAAGAGGTGTTTTCTTAAATAAAGTTAAAAAAAAAAAGGGGGGGAGGGGGGAGTGGGGGAAGGGGCTATTATCCATGACTTTCATATGAACATAAATAGTCCATTCATTATTTACTTTTATTAAGTCTCATCATCTACTTTTAATTATTTGACCATAAATGATCATTTTGTTGTAATTTCATCTACTGATTAGCTCAATTTATCGGGATTATTGTACAATAACGCGTTGATTGTATGTACAAACAATATTGCAATATGGAATGGGAGAGTAGAGAGAATACTAAAACACATGATATAAGAACTTCAAAAAGGCTCATCTTATTCATCCTTCAACATGTATATATATACAAAATAATACAACCCTTCATTTCCTAACATAATGAGGGAGTTGAAGATAGGGCAAATGAAAAGCCTCAATGATAATGGCCATTCAATAATATATTTATAACGAGTTAATACCCAAAATTGTCCTCGACTATAGTGATTTTTCTCAATTTCATCCTAAATGACTTTGATGACTTAATATTGTCTCAGACTTCTGTATTTTTACTCAATTTAGTCCCAAACTTTTGTGTTTTTGCTCAATTTAGTCTCACATTTGTTATTCCGTATATTTGTTGTTAAATAAATAGACAATTCAGTAATTTTAATATTGGCATCTCTTTACTCATAGACATGTGAAGTGCGAAATCAATTTTTTTCTTACGAATTACTCCCAAAATCACTCTTAAACCTGCGAATATAAAATTTGATTCGTAGGTCTGGGTGTAATTCGTGCAAGAAAGAAAGATTTCTCACTTCGCATGATGAAAGTAAAGAGAGGTCAATATTGATATTATTAAATTGTCATTTTATTTAACACCAATTTGACGGAATAACAAACGGAGGACTAAATTGAACGAAACACAAAAGTCTGGGACAATATTAGGTCACCAAAGTCATTTAGGACGAAATTGAGAAAAACCACTATAGTCGAGGATAATTTTGGGTATTAACTACACTCCCCCTTGGCCATTATCTAACA